TAGAACTGTCCTCACTCCCTTGCCTGGAGTGTTCATCACAATTGTTCCCATATCCTAAAGGACCAGAGTGATGGACTTCCCTAGGTTGAATCCCATTATTCTCATGACTCTCCCTACACTCATTACTCATCAGACTGGGATGGGAATTAAGTAAATTATCAATTAAAGATCAGTTAGGTAAACCATTGAGTTCATGTTCTCCCTACGCCTTCTCTGAAGGAGGCCTGCCATGGCCACTGAGAATGTGAGAATGAAGACAGGAGGGACAGAGGTTTAAAGACTTCAGATCATTAGTGGGCACAGGGAATCTCAGAGAGAGTATATGGAAATCCTGGAATTGCACTCCTATGTGCCTTTTCCCATGATTCTTCATGCCTGTTTACTTCCAGAACCGTTGTGCTTCACACTATGCTTTTCCATCCTGGGAAGTTTCTTAAGTATCAAGACACTGCTGGTGTTTGCTCTCATCTATGTCTACAGGAAGCAGAGGATCTGACTGTAAGTTGTGGGAGAAGTTCAGACTTCGGGAGGGAGGGGACTGCCAATGTCTCTCCCCAGAGGGGCAAGGTCAGCAGGATGGGACAGTCTAGATGGTTCCATGTATCATAGTATCAAGACCCACCTGGAGTTAAAAGAGATGAACCACTTCCACCACTTCTCTGAAAGTTTCACAGAAGTTGCCAGCTCTCAGGAATCATGTGAGGTCCTGCAGCAAGTAGTAAAGGACTGTCAAAGGGAATCCATAGGCTCCTAGAGCTTCCATGAAGGATATGCTAGAGTAGGGCTGAAGAAGGGGCCCGGCATATAAATGAGTGGTTCTCTTGGCAACCATCTCCAGATTATTTAAACACTGAGATGTCATGGGGCAAAAGGAGTCCACATTTTAGAGTAGTGTTGAGAATCCCTGGATCAGTGCTGTTAGGTTTCACCTACTGACACTGCATGTGACTGAGTGGACAAGACTAGGAAGTAGCGGTCAGAACTCAGGGAGAAGAGGAAGATGGCATCATTCCTATAGCAAGAAAGCAGCCCTGGGAAGACAGTAGAATACTGTTGTTGATAATGAGCAGATAAGTGCATGTGGATCTGTTTCCTCACAGCTCTTGCCTTCCTCCTGTGATGATCTAACCTGAGAGAAGGTGCCAGACAGAAGCCTCTGCAGATCCTCCTCCATGTGCCTCTTTGCTCTGGAACACCTGCCAGCCCACATCATCCTGCAGATTCTTCTCACAGTTCCTGCTGCCTCCAAGGACCCTTCTTGGGAACTGGTTCTGTAGATTGACTTACTCTCCTTACTGAAAAGATGGGGGAAGTCAGGTTCCTAGACATGTCAAATGATATCCAACATGCTGCTGTGCGATCAGTCATAAAACTCATACTCATGTCTGTGCTGCCAAGACTTTTTCTCTCCTCCTGTATTTCTGTCCATCCCTGACTTCCCACCCTTGCCTCATCGATGGCAATAGGTTTGGTTTGGGTTTGCTTTTAATTCCTGTTTAAAAGACATTTTTTGAAGAAAGAACCAAAATTAACACATTAACACAGGCTCTACAACAATTAGAAACAGACCAAAAGAGGGAACCTACAGTTACCAAAAGAAAAGAAATCATAAAGATTAGAGCAGAAATAAATGAGATAGAAAACAGGTAAATTATAGAAAGAATCAACAGGACAAGAAGCTGGTTGTTTGAAAGGTTTAACAAAATCGACAAACCATTGGCAAACCTAACAAAAGAAAAGAAGGAGCAGACACAAATAACAC